AACTCCCTGTGCCGTCCTCGCAATCCCGTCCCTCTCTGCCTCCGCCCGTGGCTAGGTCGCGCCTGCCGGGTCCGGCCCTGCATCGGCTCCCCGTGCCCATGCGCGTCCCGGCGCCACCTGCTTCCCCGCTGCCGGCCTCCCCTGCCTGGCCGCGTCCGACCTCATCCGGCTTCCCCGCCGTCCCGGCCGGCCTCTGCTGCCTCGCCCCTGGCCGGCTTCGTCCAGCGTGTCGCGACCCAGCCGCCGGCACCCAGTGCCCATCCGGCTCGCCTTTTGCCGTGCCCCGGTCGCTGTCTTGCCCGCAACCCGGCTGCCGGCTTGCCCGCAACTCGGCCGCCGGTTTCTGCCGCGACCCGGCCGCCGGCTTCTGCCGCGTCCCACTCCTGCCTGCTGCTCGTGCAGAGAAGGAAAGAGAAAGAACCCGGCTGGTCAAGCCGGATGTGTAAAAAAAGGGTGACCGGTTGAGATGGCCGGCTACCCGAGAGTCGGCTGCCCGAGAGTCGGCTCGAATAAAAGAAAATATGAAAGAAATGTGCATCTGACTGTCAGATGTGTGTTCGACCGCTGGCTGCCTGGCCGGCTGTAAAAATTCCGACTGCTGTGTTGGAGTCCACCTGCCCAGCCGGCTGAAGAAGAAAAAGAAGAAGACAAAGTAGTCGCCGGGAGATCCGGCCCGACTGCTCAGCAGTCGGCCCGAATCTCGGGGGCTACACCCAGCGGGTGCGCTGGCGCGCCCCCGCGAAGATTGCAGACAAGAGAAGAGTTTTTTCCGGCTGTCAGCAGCCAGCAGAAGAGAAAAAGAAGAAAAAGGGCGTTGCAAGCCGCCTCGCCACCTAGCCGGTCGAGCCTGATCGACCGGGACCCCTTCGAGCACCCTGAGGCTCGAAGACTACACCCAGCGGGTGTGCCGGCGCACTCAGCAAGCGTTGAGCCACACTGGCTGTCTTCGGCAAACTCCGCCTCGGCTACACGAAAATCAATGTGAGCTATTCACCCGCATATTTTTGCACTGCGCAAGCACGGATAACCCCAAGCGATGCTCGGGGAACTATCTCCGCATTTTATTACACTTGCATCACTGTTCACCCCGGCGCCAGCCAGAGTTGGCCCTGGGGCTGGCCGCTTGGCCTGAGATGTTTGTTCCCGCAGACGGCTTAGTAGCGTGCGCAGTACCAAAGGCCCACTCTTAGCCACAGACCGCAGAGCGGCTGTCCGGCTAGCAAGAGTGAACGCTGGAGGGCACCCACGCGAAAAAACGTCCGGGAAGAAAAACGGTTCGGGCGACCCGGCCGTTTTCCTTTACAAGTATCTACTCGGTTGAATCTTCTCCAAGACTCCGAGTACTGTACACTCCGCTTCACGGCCCACTCTCAGCCACAGACCGTAGAGCGGCTGTCCGGCGAGCGAGAGCACAAGCCAAAAAGCGGAGGGAACATGAAAAAGATTAAGGGGGCTCGGACGAAACCGAGTCGGTACCCTCCGCATAAAACTTGCAATGCTAAAAGAAAACATTTGATATATCTGCATGGACTAACTTTGTCTTTTTTCATGATCATTTCCATGAACACTCGCCTAAAAAACCTCCGCCCAAATTTGCCAAGTTGCCCGGAGGCTTGGGGCCTACTATCGGAGTAATTGGACACGGATACCCCGAAGACGGTGAGACGATATTTCAAGACATCGGGGCTAGCAAAGCCCCTCAGTCCGACTGCTCGGCCGCTTCTGCCGACTCCCCATTCGACTGCCCTGCCCAGCCGGCTGCCGACTGCAGCCCGAAGTGACATCGACAAGACACCGATGCGACAATTGTACCCGAGCACTATTCACGTGTCATCTCAGCCACCATGTATAGTGTCACTTGTCCCCTGGCACTATTTATGAAGTGACCCAGGGGACAAGGATGACATGCACCATGCCTTACCCATGCCCACTGCCAAGCTTAGATCCTAAGCTACCCTCTCCTATATAAAGGGGCATCCATCCATCCATCCAGGGGATGGACTCTCACACACACACACACAAGCAACTAGCTAGCAAGCTAGCTAGCTATCCATCCATCCACATGAGCACACATGCTCACAGCTATGAGCATGGCCGGCCACTAGCATGCCTCATATAGGCATATAGAAAGCCAGATGCTAATGGCACTAAGCTTAGATACAACTCCAGGAGCACTCTGTACCAGATATACCAAATATACTCGGACATGCAGGAGTAGGGGTGTTATCTCTCTGGAGAGCCCCGAACCTGGGTAAACTAGCGCGTGCTACTCGCATACCCGCTCCCGGGCCTATCAGCAGCAGTCTTACCCTCACACTAAGCCCTTGTGGCATCTGTCGACTCGCAAGCCCCCTGCGAGAATACCACGACAGACGTACTCCTTCCTCCTATATATACCTATGTACCCCCAAACGATCAGATACGGAGCCAAAAGCCTAATTCCACTGTCGTAACTTTCTGTATCCACGAGATCCCATCTTGGGGCCTGTTCCGGAGCTCCGCCGAAGGGGGCATCCATCACGAAGGGCTTCTACATCAACATCATAGCCCCTCCGATGAAGTGTGAGTAGTTTACCTCAGACCTTCGGGTCTATAGTTATTAGCTAGATGGCTTGTTCTCTCTTTTTGGATCTCAATACAATGTTCTCCCCCTCTCTTGTGGACATCTATTCGATGTAATCTTCTATTTGCGGTGTGTTTGTTGAGACCGATGAATCGTGGGTCTATGATCAAGATTATCTATGAACAATATTTGAATCTTCTCTGAATTCTTTTATGTATGATTGGTTATCTTTGCAAGTCTCTTCGAATTATCAGTTTGGTTTGGCCTACTAGATTGATCTTTCTTGCAATGGGAGAAGTGCTTAGCTTTGGGTTCAATCTTGTGGTGTCCTTTCCTAGTGATAGTAGGGGCAACAAGGCACGTATTGTATTGTTGCCATTGAGGATAACAAGATGGTTTTTTTATCATATTGCATGGATTTATCCCTCTACATCATGTCATCTTGCTTAAGGCGTTACTCTGTTTTCATGAACTTAATACTCTAGATGCATGCTGGATAGCGGTCCATGAATGGAGTAATAGTAGTAGATGCAGGCAGGACTCGGTCTACTTGTCTCGGACGTGATGCCTATATACATGATCATACATAGATATTCTCATAACTATGCTCAATTCTGTCAATTTCTCAACAGTAATTCATTCACCCACCGTAAAATACTTAGCTCTTGAGAGAAGCCACTAGTGAAACCTATGGCCCCTAGGTCTATCTTCATCATATTAATCTTCCAATACTTAGTTATTTCCTTTGCTTTTATTTTAATTTGCATATTTATCACAAAAACACCAAAAATGTTATCCTATCATATATATCAGATCTTACTCTCGTAAGTGACCGTGAAGGGATTGACAACCCCTTATCGCGTTGGTTGCGAGGAGTTATTTGCTTTGTGCAGGTACGAGGGACTCGCCCGTAGCCTCCTACTGGATTGATACCTTGGTTCTCAAAAACTGAGGGAAATACTTACGCTACTTTGCTGCATCATCCTTTCCTCTTCAAGGAAATCCAACGCAGTGGTGACGATCAATATTATGATTTTTTGTGTTTTGATGTACCGAAGGTAGTTCGGAGTCCCGGATATGATCACGAACATGAGGAGGAGTCTCGAAATGGTCGAGACATAAAGATCGATATATTGGACGACTACATTCGGATACCAGAAGTGTTCCGGGTGATTTCGGAGAAAACGTGAGTGCCGGAGGGTTACCGAAATCCCCCGGGAAAAATAATGGGCCTTATGGGCATTAGTGGAGAGAGAGAGGGCTGGCCTAGGGCAGGCCGCGCGCCCCTCCCCCTCTGGTACGAATTGGACTAGGAGAGGGGGGCAGCGCCTCCCTTTCCTTCTCCCTCTCCCCTTCCTTTCCCCCTCCTAGTAGGAGTAGGAAAGAGGGGAGTCCTACTCCTACTAGGAGGAGGACTCCTCCTCCTGGCACGCCATAGAGGGCCAGACGGCCTCCCCCTTGCTCCTTTATATACGGGGCTGGGGGGCACCTCTAGACACACAAGTTGATCATTGATCCCTTAGCCGTGTGCGGTGCCCCCCTCCACCATAATCCACCTCGATCATATCGTAGTGGTGCTTAGGCGAAGCCCTGCGTCGGTATCAACATCATCACCGGCAACACGCCGTCATGCTGACGGAACTCTTCCATGAAGCTCTGCTGGATCGGAGTTCGTGGGACGTCATCGAGCTGAACATGTGCTAAACTCGGAGGTGCCGTGCGTTCGGTACTTGGATCGGTCGGATCGTGAAGATGTTCGACTACATCAACCGCATTCTCATAACGCTTCCGCTTATGGTCTACGAGGGTACGTGGACGATACTCTTCCCTCTCGTTGTTATGCATCACCATGATCTTGCGTGTGCGTAGGATTTTTTTTTGAAATTACTACGTTCCCCAAAAAGTACTCCCTTAGAACGGATGCTAATTGGACAGACCAAACAGGCAAATCTACCCCGACACACAAATTTACATCAACCTTCACATCTGCTTTCAGGTAAATATGTTTTGTTTTTTACATCATTGTCAAATGTATGAATCTTAAGGAATAAAGTGCCTCATTTGGTCCAATCTCCTTCATACATAATGATGTTTTGTGGTTATTCTGGTTTGTATTAAATTGGTTTAGCGTTAAACTGCCTCATTTGTCCAAGATTTGTTATTTTTACATGATGCAGACAACCAGGGAATCTCATTCATGCATGATGATGCTTCGTTGTCGGCTCCCAGTAATCTCACACTGGTTTATGCCACAACTGTACCACAAAGTTCAAATGGTATTACCTTATCCTCTTTCATATGAACTAACTTGTGCTTATGGGGGTTCATCTTCATATATTTAGATAGCTTATGGCTTTTCTGTTGTCGCATTAGCTGTAGAATATCCCATATCGATGTGGGAAACCACGTAGGGCCTAATGCTCGTGCTCATGAATGTTCAGTGTCTATCCCAGCATACGAGCACCAGACAACAGGAGCTATCTTGACTTACGAAAAAAGGTTGCAGGTAAACGCCCGGAGGCGAGCTGATTATCAGAGGAAAATAGAGGGTATAGTCAAGCTCCAAGATGAAAATCATCATTCCCTTATGATGTCTGGTAAGGTGGTTTAATGTTTAAGTGCTAAGATGAATAATGAATACATATAAAGTAATTTTTACATAAATTAAATTGATTTCGCAGAGTTCATTATTGTTTAACAATTATGTAGAGAATATGTTTGAACATTATTGTTGAACTAGCCAACCCAACTACATCCCGCTAGACATCCTTCTCACATGATGATTCATACTTTTCCTGCTTCAACTACTCTCTAGGTAGGGTTTAATGCGTATAATTAGTATTACCTCTGTAGACTAATATAAGAGGTTTGCTAAGACATTTTAGATCACTAAACGTCTGATACGTCTCCAATGTATCTATAATTTTTGATTGTTCCATGCTATTATATTATCTGTTTTGGATGTTAATGTGCTTATTTATACACTTTCATATTATTTTTGGGACTAACCTACTAACCCAAGGCCCAGTGCAAATTGCTGTTTTTTTGCCTATTTCAGTGTTTCGCAGAAAAGGAATATCAAACGGAATCCAAACGGAATAAAACCTTCGGGAGAGTTATTTTTGGAACAAACGTGATCCAGGGGACTTAGAGTGGACGTCAAGTAATCAACGAGGAGGCCACGAGGCAGGGAGGCGCGCCTACCCCCTGGGTGCACCCTCCACCCTCGTGGGCCCCTCGTGGCTCCACCGACCTACTTCTTCCTCCTATATATACCCATATACCCCGAAAACATCCAGGAGCACCACGAAACCCTATCTCCACCACTGAAACCTTCTGTATCCAAGAGATCCCATCTTGCGGCCTTTTCCGGAGCTCCGCCAGAGGGGGAATCAATCACGGCGGGCTTCTACATCAACACCATAGCCTCTCCGATGATGTGTGAGTAGTTTACCTTAGACCTTCGGGTCCATAGTTATTAGCTAGATGACTTCTTATCTCTCTTTGGATCTCAATACAATGTTCTCCTTGATCTTCTTGGAGATCTGTTTGATGCAACTCTTTTTGTGGTGTGTTTGTTGAGATCCGATGAATTGTGGGTTTATGATCAAGTTTATCTATGAACAATATTTGATTCTTCTCTGAAATCTTTTATGTACGATTGGTTTATCTTTGCAAGTCTCTTCAAATTATCAGTTTGGTTTGGCCTACTAGATTGATCTTTCTTGCAATGGGAGAAGTGCTTAGCTTTGGTTTCAATCTTCCGGTGTCCTTACCCAGTGACAGCAGGGGCAGCAAGGCACGTATTTATTGTTGCCATCGAGGATAAAAAGATGGGGTTTATATCATATTGCTTGAGTTTATCCCTCTACATCATGCCATCTTGCCTAAAGCATTACTTTGTTCTTATGAACTTAATACTCTAGATGCATGCTGGATAGCGGTCGATGTGTGGAGTAATAGTAGTAGATGCAAAATCGTTTCGGTCTACTTGTCACGGACGTGATGCCTATATACATGATCATGCCTAGATATTCTCATAATTATGCACTTTTCTATCAATTGCTCGACAGTAATTTGCTCACCCACCGTAATACTTATGCTATCTTGAGAGAAGCCACTAGTGAAACCTATGGCCCCTGGGTCTATCTTTTATCATATACGTTTCCAATCTACTTTATTTTGCAATCTTTATTTTCCTTTGTATATCATAAAAATACCAAAAATATTTATATTATCATTATCTCTATCAGATCTCACTCTCGTAAGTGACCGTGAAGGGATTGACAACCCCTTTATCGCGTTGGTTGCGAGGTTCTTATTTGTTTGTGTAGGTACGAGGGACTTGCGTGTAGTCTCCTACTGGATTGATACCTCGGTTCTAAAAAACTTAGGGAAATACTTACGCTACTTTGCTGCATCACCCTTTCCTCTTCAAGGGAAAACCAATGCAGTGCTCAAGAGGTAGCAACGTCTTAAAGTTGTTTACAGATGGAGTATATTTTAATTTGTGCCATACCATCAAACACTACCTCGTGTACTTAGGCAATTATATAACCATTGAAGCGAAGGAGCAGAAGTTGTTTCATATGCCAATGTTCACTTGATTGTAAAGTGTCCACATATTTTAACTGCTTAGTTGATGTCGTATGCACAAAATTCTAATCATTTTGTTTGTTGCCAGATCAAATCTAAATCTACATGCAAAAGACATCTTGACCACATAATGTATAATCACTAAATTAAGTAGTTCAGCTTGAAGATATATGTTCGTATGGTGTGTGTAGGACCCAACTCCAGCAACTTTGTAGCTCAGAGACATAATAAAATTAAGGTGATGAGATGGCGAAAAAAATGAAAGAAAGGACAGTCTGCTGACCTTATAGCCTTGTGGTGGTGAAATCAGGCAATTAAAGCGACTCTCATAAGTAGGGAAATGATGCTCATGATGCTCCATCAGTTTTAAATCCATCTTCAACCTTATCTGATAATCAAATTCCTATCCAAGCAGGGGATTAGCTCGGAATGCCCGTCGTTGCATACCTTCACAAGGAAGGAAAAGAAAAACATTTAGAAAAATAATCATACATATTGACTGTTAACAATCAACTGATTGTTGGTTCTGAACTCACAGGTAAGCCCATGATCTTAACATCATTTGTATATATGTCTCTCAAATTATGTTTCAAAATTAGGTTGCTCAAGTTAAGTTACCAAAAATATCACCCACCATATACATAAACTCATGGACCTCTGATTTTCCTAAAGAGAAGAAGGCATGTGATTAAAGCATATCATTCAGAAACAAATATAGATGTCTCCCTTTACAAAGAAGGCCTTGGCAAAACAAAGAAAATGATAAATAGGCCCCTGTGGTAGTTGCCTCTTTCCCATCATGTTGCTACCCCTCCGGGTCACACGCGCGGGCGACCCCAGGGGGACGAAACCCTAGCTAGCAAACCCTACCCTAGATCCACCCGGCTGCTGCCGTTGACACCGCTAGCCCTGGCGGTGGTGGCGGCCTCCTAGCCGCCAAAGGCGGCAGGGAGGAGAGCACGCCAGGTGGCGATGACTTCGCGCCGAGGATGCTTCATCGGGCGGCGCGTGACGATAGTGCTAAGAGGCGGCAGGTGGCGAGAGGAGGGTCGTGGTGGAGCAGCGTGCTGGCTGGCGGAGGATCCAGAGCTCGGAAGGGGGAGCAATGGCAGTGGTGTGAACAACATGGACGGTGGTCCCATTCCGATGGGCGAGGAGGATGGTGTGTGACACAAACGAATGTCTTTGCCCGTCTTCGGTTGGAGCCGGTGACGGCGGCATCCGTGGGTGTTGTTCCCCTCCTTGGAGGCGTCGCTGAGGTGTGTCGACACCGTACTCGCTTCATTATGGTTTGGTTGGGTCGATGTCTCCAGGTGAAAGCCTAGGTTTGGAGTTGGATCGGCGTGATAGCAGCGTCCTTGACGCCGTCCCTCTGTTGAGAGTATCATGTTTGGAGACACGGCTTGGTGGTTGTCGGTGTCAAAACCGGCGGATCTCGGGTAGGGGGTCCTGAACTGTGCGTCTAAGGCGGATGGTAATAGGAGGCAGGGGACACGATGTTTTACCCAGGTTCGGGCCCTCTTGATGGAGGTAAAACCCTACGTCCTGCTTGATTTATTCTTGATGATATGAGTATTACAAGAGTTGATCTACCACGACATCGGAGAGGCTAAACCCTAGAATAACAAGAGTCCTAGCCAAATATGCCGGTGGGGAGGAGTCCTTGTCTTGATCACCAAGTCTTGTGGAATCTTCCATGTATGCGACAGCTGTCCGAACTGGCCCATGAGTATACGGCCATGGGGGTCCTTGGCCCAATCTAACAGATGGGAGACGACGTGGTGAGTACCCCCTAGTCCAGGACACCATCAGTAGCCCCCTGAACTGGTCTTCAAGTTAGGGACGCTCCTCGATTCTTCCAAACTGTTCTTCATCTTCGGTTGTCGGTCTTGAAAACTAGTTCAATAAATCTTCTCATCTTCGATCTTGAGGATCGCCGAAATGCATTCAACGAGTTTACACGTCGGGTATCCGAGGAGCCCCTTTAAGTTTCCGGCCTTTATCAATGCCTTGTTATTTTTATGCCCCACCTCGGGTTTGAAGTTGTTCCCGGGAGGCAGTGTCCTCTTGCATCCGAGCTCTAACGCCGGACTGCATTCGAGGTATCTTTTGTAGCCGAGCACCAATGCTGGACTGCTTCCGAGCTCTAACGCCGAAATGTATCCAAGCTCCAACTCCGGACTGTGTCCAAGCTCCAATGCCGGACTATATCCAAGATGTCATAGATCATCTTGGTCCAAAAAAGTTGAAGGAGTTTAGCCGAGCTTTATGCTGGAAATGCCCTCTATGGAGCCAGCCACTAGCGCCTGAGCTTTATGCCGGACTGCTTCCGAGGTGGTGCACCACCCCGACTGTGGGCCGATTTTTTTTCAATATTTTTTATCGGTGCAATTTATTCTCTGCCGAGATATACAACCAGTAGCCCTCAAGGCGTGTATCGGTCTAAAACTCGAGATGCACCTGAAGGATGACGTAAGACCGCTGATCCCAGTAGCCGCTGAGACTCAGGTTGATTTGTAAAATCGGCCTGAGGATCAAGTCCTAGCTCGGCAGAATACTTCGGGACACAAAAAGCGGTGTGCTCAGTCCTCGAGACTCAGGTTGGGTGCGGCCGACCAACCTGAGGATCAAAATCTCCTCGGAAACTATATTGCACATAAAATTTTCTGCATTGGACAGGCAATGCAGTAGCCCCCGAGACACTGGTCGGGTGGCAACACCAGATCAGGGGATCGATGTGCCCCTTTAATATTTGTAAATAATAAGCCCGAAGCCCAGTAGCCCCCGAGCCTTAATGCGGGCATGGGTGGCCGAATTAAGGATCGATATCCATAGTAAAATCACAAATTATGTGTAATGACTCTATGTATCCAAGTACTTTACATCATGAATGCTCGGATCCGCATTGTACAAAACTTTGTTGACCGACCATCGGCTTCCACCTCCTCGGCCAGTAGCCAAGGAGTGTTTGTCCTACTTTATAAAGCCTTTATGAGGGCAAAGATTTACGACAAACAAGGCAATCTGGCCATACAGTTTTATAAACAAAGGTACGCAGAGAGATATGTTATATTACTGTTTAACATAAGAAATGTCTTCCAAAGAAAATAGTCCCGCTATTGGTTCCTTTCTTTGGGTTGTCATGCTAAGCATGATCATGAAACATCAGCTCTAATGTAAGAGCAAAGTATCGAGGATTTAGTTTGGGAGGCCAGTTAATAGCCCCCGGTAGTGTTCGGCGACAGTCGAGGTCAAGCCGTAAACACTTCGGCCATTGTTATGAATGGACTGTCATTTAACACAGTCATGGGATCGCTGACCATTTTACGCTTATTGTGACAGTCAGTTTTCGGCTTTCTCCACTGAGGTGCTTAACCATGTGAGCTGGAAGCACAATCGCAGTGGTTCTCCCTTTGCACGCCTAGCCGAACAAAGCGGAATGTAGGAAGCAAGTGCAGGAGCCGGGCAACCCAACTATTGACTGAAGACACAATTCGAAACCGATGCATATATAGCAATATCCGAGAATGTTTTTGCCGAATCTCTAAGGTGTCCGGCGTTGCACTGCGAGACTTGTGCTGAAAATACACAAACAGTTTAAAAGTGCCAAAAAGCTTGGAAAACCAAAAAACATCAGTAAAAACATGACGTCCGAACAAGATCAAGTGTTTGGTGCCAATCTGAAAATTGGAAGAGAAAGAAAAAATTGTGCTTCTGTCGTGTTTTGACAACAACCAAGAAGAAAACACATTTACAACTCATATATAAATTTTAAGAGCCCCCAAGTGACTTGGGTAAGAATTTTATGTATAATGATTGTATGTACCGAAGAACTTATATCATATCTTTGTTCACCCGAACTTTAAATGCGTCTTAACCGACCATCGGCTTCTCCCTCTTCGGTCAAGGACCAAAAAGTGTTATGTACTCCACCTGTCGAGAATATCGACAGTGTTTCTGATAACCAGGCAACCGAGCCATAAGGCTGTAATAGACAAAGCGCGCTCAGGGAACTTATGCTATATTACAGACGAAGTGTAAGAAGCATCTTTGAAGAAAATAGTACCCCCACCGATACCTTTCTTCGGTGCTCATTATTGCTATGAGACTTGTGCAATAGATTTTTTGTACTCATGAGTTCTGTTGTGTGCCGACCATGATTGAAAATAATAAGAGCGCTAGCTTTCGGCTTCACCCAGTCTGAGGTCAGAGCTCGGAGGACTCGGTCGTGACAATCACAGAGGTGCTCGCTTTACTCCCTAGCCGAACAATCGGGAACGTAGGGGTAAGCACAGGAGCCAGGCAACCCAGCTTGCAAATTGCTTAAGTTAATATGGTGCATATTGTGGCGTAATACACAAACAGGGAACGAAGCTGTACAAGTATAATCATATGCAAGAGGAAAAGCTTCATAAAGGAAGCCCCCAAATAAACAGGGTATTTGAATATGTGTGTCACAAACAAAGTTTGGACAAGGAAATTTTTACAAGCAACTTTTTTCCAAAAAGGTATAATGCTTGGTCGAACCGAACACAAGTTAAAAATTAAAACTTTGAGCATGAAAGCGACTTAGCTGGTTAATGTGTTTGGCATTGATGACGCGGTCCGAGCTTGATGTAGGACAAGGTTCCATCCCCCAAGCCGGTCCCGAGGTGGCAGAGCGAAGAGTTCGACAAGCCGAAGTGGTAACATAGCACGGTCAATGCAGACCGGCAGAGTGACGACGAAGTCCCTGGATCATTTTCCTGTGCACAAAAAATAGTGCAAACCGGAGATAATAATAATAAGAATAAATCGTTGCATAATAAATAATTTATGCAAAGTGAGTAATAAAAGAAATATGGCCTGGCGGCAAAGTCAATGTCGATGCAGGGCATCGGTGTGATGCGGTAAAGGCGTGGCAAAGCCTGAATTCACCGGTCGGTCCGAGTTCTGGATGCGGCATTTGCCGGACTATGTACGGAAACTGACCGAACCACCACGCGATCGTCCTTAATGCAGCCATCATTTGATAGACCTGTGTACAGATGATGGACAAAACAGAGTAATAATTATTTGGGAAAAATAAACCCAAACAAGCAAAAAAATACTAGGATTAATAACACCTGGTTTATTTGTTGTAGCAATCCGAAGAAAGGTGATTCCCAAAATTGGGACTCGATCCGCACACCCATTGCCCGATGGGCGATAAAGCGGCGGTATGGCGATTGAGGGAGTGCTGGATTAGGGGGTGTCCGGATGGCCGGACTATACCTTCAGCCGGACTCCTGGACTATGAAGATACAAGATTGAAGACTTCGTCCCGTGTCCGGAAGGGACTTTCCTTGATGTGGAAGGCAAGCTTGGCGATACGGATATGTGGATCTCCTACCATTG